GGATAAAGTTAGGAAATTTAAAAGATATGTTGCTTTTAATTCAAGGTTGGTATGTTCTTAAAAAAGAGGAAAAAACTGGGAAAATCAAAATCAAATTAGCTTATTAAAGATGAAAAGAAAAAACTAGAAATAAATACAATACATTTAAGAAGTTTAAACTGGCATATAGCTTGGAAGATTTAAAGAATTATAGGGATTTGACTTAAGAAAAAATTAGGAAATTCCAAAGAGCATATGAAAAGCAGCTGATTGATAAGGTTAAAAATGACAGCAATATTTCTTATTTAAGTATTTGAAAGGTATACAAAATGTGAACATTGAGATGACTTAAAGGATAACTGAGATAACCATGCATTTAAATGTTCTCTTCTGTTTTTACAAAAGAAGATATTAACAATATTCTTGCCCCTGTGACTTTATGGGAAGTATTGAAGTATACCTGAATCACTTAAATATTAATTCACTGGTGGTAAATGGAAAGTCTGAGAAATTAAAGCACCAGGACCAGAGAAGGTTTTTTCCTGGATTTTAATAAAGGTCAGATATGCAAGCCTCATCTCTTTCATTTTTGATAGATGAATAGACAGAAGGAAGATATCTGAGAATTGGAGAGTTGTTAATGCTACTCCTATTTATAAAAGAGAAATATAAGAGCTGCCTTAGAAATCATAGGCTAGTTAGTTTTACTTTTGTAGTAGGAAATATATATATATGTATAGGCTAATAAAAGAAGCACTGTAAAAATATTTCAAGTATTATGAAAAAAGAAAGAAGACAACATAGATACACTAAAGGGAAATCTTACCATACCAATTTTTTTCTTCAAGGATGATACTTATTTATAGGCAGTGGAAAGGGTGTGAACTTGGTGTATTTAGATTCTGTATAGTTTCAATATAAAAATGTCAACATGTTGTAAAACAAACTTTTACTTGTACTGCATACTCTTGTTTCCACAGTGTTTATCACTAAATTACCAAAACCTACTTTCTAGCTCTTGCAGATTGTACAGTGAACCCTAGTAGCGAGGGAGTGTCTTTTTTTTTCTGCTTCAGTGTGTATTTTTTGAGGTTTCAGTAGAAGTGACTTTAAAATAACATTTTATTTAAACGTCTATTTTCCGGTAGCTTATGATATAGAAGAGTGTCGCATGAAGCTGTGTTCTAGGCTGTTTGGTAGCTAGGTCACTGTTCAAGGTTCTAGTGCAAGCAGTGCCGTTCACTGTCCTTTCCATGCTCTTTGAACTGATACCTTTAATAAAGATGTTTTTGTTTTGTGGCACGCACGTGTTATACCAAGATTTCTAACACTTTTTGAGAAGCACTTGATTAGATGAAATATTTTTTAGTTCAACTTAAGATTTATTTTATTATCATTTTGTAATTGTTATGATTAAGTTTATAATATTATATTCCTAACTGTATGTATTTCTTTTATGTGAGCTTTTGTTTTCAAATTTTAAGTTTTTTGTTTTATGTTTTACAGTTTTTGTTTGCTAAAGATGAGTTACTTGTATGCACTGGTGGACCATTTCAAAATTTCATACTGATTTTCTTACATGTACTTTAAATCTTATTGCAGTATAATGACTAAACTACAGTGTTACTGTCATGAAAGTTCTTCCTTGTTGAAGTTAAGAGAAAATGTATATTACTATTACAGAGTGTAAAGTAAATGTTTTGGAATTATTCTGAATTGAAAATGCTAATGTTGTATGTATGTGTGTGTATATATATATATAATTGCCAGTTAACACTTTTTAGTTTTATTTTTAATTAAGTTGCTTGTAACCAATCTCGAAACATTTAGTTACATATATAGGTGTGTGTGGAACTTGCATTTGTGACCTCATAATAGGTAACTGTTCACTTATTGTATGGTATATAGGTAAAATATCTGAACTTCTGTGTACATAATTGCATGAGTTTTTTAGAAGGTAAAGTTTTGAAGGTGTCTACTTTGACTGTTATAGTAAAATGAGAAAGTGCTTTTGTATAATATCTGAGGATGGCATTGCTCTCTATATATGCCACCTGTTTCAAATCAGTAGGTATTGGTCTGTTTCTTCATGGTTGATAGAGCAAGACTGAATTTAAAAAAAATGTTAAATATGCTGTCATGTTCTACCTGTAGACTAACTGCCACAGACCAGTGACTGTCAGCTGGTGTGCTGCTTTATTCATATTATCTAGGACAAATGTATTCAGTGAACTAGCTTGCCCAAGTTTGTGGTGATTATCCAGGCTAAATAAGTTTGTACATGTACATTCATGTAATGTACATGTGTACGTTTTACTTTCTGGTCAGATTCATTTAAGAAACTAATTAAAATTTTACATATATTTGTGTAGAACAAATTCATGCATATTCATAAAATTTTATCATTTTAGCAATAAAGCTGTTTAGAGTAAATAAAAATGAAACTATGTATGTGTGTAAAACAACCAAAAGTACATAATACCTCCATCTTTAGATGTAATAACTTAATAATCAGATTGTGCAAGTTTTTATTGGTATAGGACAATAAAATCCATAAAACTAACTTTTCTTAACTTAAGAGAGTTTACGGTCATTATATAACCATGCACATGTATATACAATTGTTGTTCAGTAGCATATCACATTGTTTTAGTTTATAAATATTTGTTGATTATTTCTGAGTTAGGAGTTTAACCTGTGGTTGTCACATTTCATGTTAGTTGATTAAAGTGTTTGGCCTAGAATGCTGTGTAAAAAGTTTCATGTCAGGAGGGAGGAATGCCTATTACAATTCAAGATATTCTTTAGAATTAAAGAGAAAGAAAGTCAGTCTAAGTTCAAGATATAGACAACCAGAATTTTAAAAATTCATGTAGTATTGAAGGTAGAGGAAAACTTCAAGAGAAATCAAGAAACCAATCATTCAGAACTGAAGTGAGTTGCAAGCAAACATTCAGAGAGAAAATCATAAATGTAGAAAATTAGTCAGAATACAAGAAAAACAGTCAATCAGATATTTAGGTAGCTGATCAAAATTTGACATTTAATAATTTACAATTCAAAAGAAATATTCAGTTGGGGCTTAAGAGAGAGAAAAGTTATGGTTAGTCAATTAGTATCCAGTGTAAGCAAACATAATTCATGAAAAACAATGAATCAGAATTCAGAAAAGGTGGTCAGTTAGTCAGAACTTGAGAGAAGCAGTTGCTTAGAATTTAAAGAAATAGTAAATAGTAAAAATTTGGGATTACAATATAACAAAAGGACAGCTTATCAGTATAGTCAATTAAGATTGAAGAAATATAGTCATTCAAGAGCTAATATAACTGTTTGGATTTCAAAGGCAGTTAGATTCTAAATACTTTGACATAAATTTCTAGAACTTCTGTGAGATTTTCATTTAGTCTGTGGAACTTGCTAAAGCTGAGTTGCTACAAATTATTTATTTGAATTTCTTTAGTAAGTCAACTTTTCATTTCTTGATAAACTTGTAAGCCATCTAACAATCCCAAAAGAAATGCTTTGAAAGTCCTGTACTTGTGCATAAGAGTTGAACAAATTCTTTCAAAGGAATGGTTTATGTTGGATTCTACAGCATTTCTTAAATGTGCATTACATGACAAAATAATATAGAGACCAAACTTGTGCAAATGCATGTTTATAATCATAAGTTCAAATGTAAATTTTTATAGATGTTAGGCACATTTTTTGAGGAGAAATGGCTCAACCAAGTTTGTGCATGTGTATCATTAACGCAACTGATTTTTTTGTTTGTAATCTGTACAGTGTAAGCTCAAGGCTTCTGACAAGCCTGTTTTCATTCAGCAAGATTAGATGAACAGTTGTTGAAATCTTTACATATCTAGGAAGTTTAATTGTTATAGTTTTATAGCACATCATATTTGGGCTGTATTTTACAAGTAGCAGTGAAAGCTGTATAATAGTTTGTTGGGACTCTTGTATTATTAGTGAATAAAGTATAAGAAATGCAGATTAAACCAACACATCTAACTTGTCCTTGAATAATTGAAATATATATAACATTTAGCATACAATATGATGTGAAAGACTAAAGACCAGATTATTTCCATATCTTTTGTACATGTTGCCAATTGTTTTTTTCTTTTTTTAATATATTGTATAAAATGATCTCTACATGTACCAACTGTAGGTGATACTGTCAGATATTTTAAAATGTGCTGTGAAACTATTTGTACATGAAATTTGACAATGTTCATTCTAATAGATGGAATATTTTGAAGTCTGATATCACTCACTGTTTACATAGACAAGAAAGCTGCACAATAATTGAAGTTACAATGAAGTAGTGTGCAGGATACTGACACGAATGTTATAGGTTTTTACAAGAATTTCAATTTTTAATGATTACACGTGTATGGTACACAATATCAGTTTTATTTATCAAATAATAAAAAATTATTCCTTGCAGAGCAATTGTTATTTGATGTTAAAATATTTGTTACAGTGTATATTATACTTCCTGTTTTTTATTTCTATCACGTAATAAATGCTTGAATGTGTTTTCTAATGATTCTTGCCATGTACTTTTTTTTCCATAAAAGTCATTTACATACCAGATTGCACTTTTTCATCACTGATTTTACAGAAAGATGTTTTAATTTTAGATTAAATTTGTGATTTTTAGCTACTTTAGTATTAATTAAAATAGAAATTAGAGTGCAGGGAAGTGAATTTACTGTAAACATAAATAGACACACACGTTTGTTTAACATACAGCATAGTATCAAAATGATTATATATGTTTTTGAGTTTTTATAGATGTAGTCTGCTGTATGCCCAATAATATGAGAGTTTTCTACCAATCCTGTTAGAGCAACTTAAGATGTAAGAATCTTTTTATATTTTAGACTGCTCTGAATGAAGTACCAAAGTCGATATGTTGAGGAAGAAGTATTAAGTTATTTACTATTATTTAGTCTTAATTCTAAGGGCAGATAAAAATTTTCCCTCACTTCTTTTTTTTCTTTTTCATTCTATAGATATGCATGGTTCTGTGGAAGAAGTAGAGTTGGATCCCTGTGATCTTTATGTTAGTTTGGGTACACTCATTGTTGAAGGTCGACTGCCTGGGCTTACAGAGAGAGGTTATGGGGGAGGTCCACACTGTTTACCACCTCACGGTCAAAACAGACATGAATGTGACCTTAATAATGAAGTAGTAAGTTTTATTTTGTAAGAAATGCATTTTTCAATTTGTATGAAGAATTGAAGAAAAAAAAGAGCCATAAGCTTAAGAACCTTTTTTACTAGTAATACAACTGAGATACCTTTCTAAACATCAGATAGAATGCCACATATTTTCTTAATTAAGGAGTTGTGTGGTATTTATAAAGCATTTCTGGAAATTATTTGTAACACATTCTTCTGAGCTTCTTCTGAAGTATAGTATTCAGACAGTTTTTAATGGTTAAGGACCATTTATTTCCCCTTCTAGTCTTCTTGTGGGTGGAAGATTCTTTTTTGTATCTTGAATTTTATATATTTCTTACCATTTTCTCTGTGCTTTAACTATTTGATATATCATTTGATTATAGTGAAGGAAATTATGGCAGCCTTTTAAATGCTGTTAACTTTTTAGCCTAGTAATCATAGTGAGAATAGAGTGGAGAAACTGAGCAATTTTCTGATAGTCAAGGCTGCTTTGATAGTGTTTTCTGTTTATTCCGGTCCCAAACCTTTTATTTCTGTATAGTGACAATTAGTTCTTATGAATTACCATTTCTTTTTATTTGAAATATATATATAAAACCTATGAAAAATTAAGTATCTTAAGTGTGTAAGAAAGCTTGCACTAAACTTATTTTTGTATTTGCAACAGCCAATTTTCTCATTGCTTTCACCATGACAGGATCACTTCCTTGAATGGAATACATTTTAATTACTTGACATCATTCCAAAACACTGAATTTTGGGCTAGCTCTACTTGTAAAGCTGTGTTCTGGTGGAGAACACTTCTTAAAATTATGCAGAATACAATCTCTAATAAATGGTCTTTATTAATAAATGTTTAACCTGAATTTTTAATATATGTCTAAATATTTTATTACAGAATCAAATACATTTTCTACTAATACTCATGTAGTAATTTTGTTATCCTTTCAGATCAACATTTATATCTGTTGCTGTTTGGAACAATTCATTAAACTATTCTCTTTTTTACTGTTTTCTTTCCTACAGCATCATTTTTATAAGTGTCACTGTTTTGTAAATTTCTTTTGGAGCATAACAGGTCATTTTGTTTTTCCTTAGCACAACCAATTGCTATTGAAACTTCTTGTGACAGTTTTGAATGTTAATCTGTGTCTTTTAACTCCTAAAAATACTACCTTTTTCTTGTTTTTGATCAGAAACATTTGTCACTCCAACAAGCAAACCTAGTTTGGTTTTCTGAGGAGACTTAGTTTTTGAATTGCATACCTTAATTCAACTTACTGGGGTGCAAAAACCTATTTTTCCAGCATGATTATTACTGATTCAGTTATTTATTTACATCTATCTTGATCCACTTCTGTGAAAATGACTATTCCACTCTTGCAACAAAGTAAAAACTAAGTGTGAAAGGGGAAGCAAGTAGTGTCTTTACAACTGTTGATTGATAGCACACACATACGTACACACACACACACACACACACACAC